CTTCAAATGGTAAATCAGCATTACAAAGCCTTCCACCAACTCTGAGTAAAGAATTCTCATCTAAGAAAGGATCTAAAGCCTTTAACTTACTTGTTTTTGAAATACCTTTACCTTTTTCAAGGCATCGATTTCTGCTTTAAACTCACTTAATTGTGCTATTTTAGCTAAAAATTCCGTACTCCTCTTTACTTCATCTGCAGTTAGATATTTCTCCTTATTACAAGACTCCTTAGCTTTGATGTTATTAATGAACCTAAAAATAAAGCTAAAAATTCTAATTAATTTTATGAAATTATTTGTAACATTAAAGAGTTCATCATAAAAATTTGAAGAACACTCAGTCATTGAAAGAGTAACAGCACATTTTAGTTCATCTCTGTAGGAAGGATCAGGAAAAAGTTGATTGTCCTCGTATTCATCAGTTTGTAAATCTGGACCCGAGAACCACATTTCGTTCTTTAAAAGTTCATCCACATTGCAGCCTCTAGAAATTAAGTCGGCAGGATTGTTCTTGGAGCTAACATGTTTCCAATGATAGTCCTTTGAAAGTGCTTGAATCTCCGCCACCCTGTTGCTGACAAATGTTTTGAGTTTATGAGGTTCAGTCTTTATCCACGCTAAAGTAATCGTTGAGTCCGTCCACATCCAAATTTTATGAATAGATAATTGTAGAATTGGCACAACCTTTTTGACTAATCTCGATAGTAGTAAAGCTGCAGACAGTTCTAACCTCGGTATGGTGAGTGTTTTCAAGGGAGCCACTCTGGACTTGCTGCATAATAATCTAGTTTGAGATTGTCCAGATTCGTTGAAACATTTTATGTAGACAACAGCAGCATAGGCACGTTCTGATGCATCGGAAAAGCCATGTATTTCAATCCGTATTGTTGAAGGAAGTAGAATGCACCTTGGGATTTTGAAGTTATTTACTTTCGCTAATTTTTGGTAGAAGTTCATCCACTCTTCCATTGCATCTGGTGGTAGCTGTTCACTCCAATCTAATTTTATTTTCCAAAGTTCTTGGATGAATATCTTAGCCTTCGTAACAATGGGTCCTATCAGGCCCAAAGGGTCATAGAGCCTTGCAATTTCTGAAAGCACGTCTCTTTTTGAGAAGTTGACTTTGTTACTAATCTTTACTTTTGTATGTGAGACAATCCAACTTTGGATCCCATAGCATACCTAATGTTTTCACTGGAGCATCCTGAAATTCCTTATCAAACACATAGGAAGATGTAGATAAATCTTTCAACAGTTCTGGGCTATTTGACACCCATTTGTGTAGCTCAAAACCCCCTCTCTGTAATAGTTGAGATAATCTGGTTTGGAGTTTTTTTTGCACCCTCTAATGTAGACTCTCCAGAAAGAATATCATCCATATAACTATCATTACAAATCACATCTGCTGCGTCAGGAAATTCCGCTTTTTCTTCATCTGCTAAGGCCCTTAAGGTCCTGGTAGCTAAAAAATGGTGCAGAAACTGTCCCATAAGTTACGGTAGCTAGCTTGTAAGTCTTGACTGGAGCATCTGCACTAGTCTTCCACATAATTCGTTGTAAATCCCTTTGATTAGGATCAACAAGTATCTGCCTGTACATTTTTTAATATCTGCACTAAACGCGTACTCGTGTTTTCTAAATCTACTGACTATGGAAAAGAGATCTTGTTGTATAATTCCTCCGTTTAGTAAAATGGAGTTTAGAGAAAAACCACTTGTTGTTTTTGCACTTGCATCGAAGACAACTCTCAATGGAGTGGATGTCTTCTCTGGTTTGTATACACAATGATGAGGAATGTAATAGTTAATCTTATCTAATGTTTCATTTTTAATCTCCTCCATATGGCCTAAAAGTTCATATTCATTCATAAATTCTTTATACAAAGTTCCCATTGTATTGTTTTTGTTTAATTTTTCCCAAATACCATTTAGTCGTTTGATCGCATTCTCTTTGGAATATCCTAATAATGTTTCTGCATTTTCCTTTATGGGTAACCGAACTATAAATCTTCCCGTTTTATCTCTTTTATAGGTACTAACAAAATGTTCCTCACAATAAATTTCCTCTTCACTTTTTGTTATTTCCTTAGAATCATCTGGAAGTGATTCCAGTTCAAAGAATTTCTTTACTGTTATATCTAAGCTTGGTTCACTTATTAAACAACAATTGGCTTGTTGTTGTGACTGAGGAAGGGTACCAGTTACTAAGTAGCCAAATTTTGTATTTTGTAAAATTACATTTCCCTCCTGCAAATAATATTGTTCTGGATTTAAAATTTCAAAAAATAGTTCACTTCCTATCAATATATCTATTTGACCTGGCATATGGAAATTAGAATCAGCCAGCTCAATTGAAGCTGGAATATTTAAATCCGATATATTTAATTTCGATACAGGAATCGCATCGATAATTTTAGGTAAAAGTGAAAATTGTACATTGCGTGCAAAAGTATAATCCCGATTTGAAACTTCAATATTAGCTGAATATTTCGATGATTGCGTAATTCCGTTAATGCCTGTTATAGATTGGTTTGCAGACTTAAATTTAAATCCCAACTTCCTTGCTATGTCTTCTCTCATAACGCATATCGTAGACGCATTATCTAATAATCCTCTTAACTTAATTCTATATCCATCAGCACTTTTAACGAAAATCATGAAAGTATTCAATAAAACACATTTATTTCCATAAGTCAAAACCGCCACTTCTGGCTGACCTTCAAACCGAGTAGTATTCGAAATGGTCTCTATCCCCCTTTCTCCTACTGTTTGATTTTTAACTGCAGAGCAAAGTTCAGCAGAATCGTGAAGCAATGAATTATGTAATCCTTTGCAACCACTAATTGTGCATTTGTATTTAGACATGCAGGCACCATAATGAAGTCTGAGGCAATTTATACAAAGTTTGTTATTGCTAACAAAGTTCTTTCTGCACTCCACAGACATATTTTGAAATGCAATACATTTATAAAGAGGATGAGAATTTCGACATAGAATACAAGGTTTAACAGTTATTTTTTTACTATTAACTACCAGCGATTTGGCTTTAGTTGACATTGCAGTATTTTTATGGATCGTTTTAGTACTAGGAATGCGAGTAATGTTTTCTAACACAGCACTTCTCTTTTCTAAAAATTTCTTAATAGAATCAAATGTTGGAACTTCTGCTGTTTTCAACGAAAGTTCGAATTGTTTTCTAGATTCTTTGTCAATTTTTTGAAGAATTATATTTATTAAAATTATATCTGATAGATCATTCTGCTCATATTTCAAAACTTTAAGTGCTCTAATGTTTCTATTGATACAATCCATTAAAGCGCGCAGTTCTTTGGCTGATTCGCTATAAATTTTTTCATAATTAATTATCTCAAGGACATGTGAATCTATCAACTGCCGTTTGTTTTCGTAACGATCTTCTAATGCTTTAAAGAGAGAATCGAAACTATCGCTAGGCGACTCTAAGAGCTTTGCTTCTCCTTTTAGAGATGCTCGAAGATAGTATAGTTTTTTGCGAATCATTCAATTGCTCATTATTACTTATTAAATTAATAAATTGATTTTTAAAATTAGAAAATTCTGCTATTACACCAGAAAATTCTGGCAATGGAATTTGAGGTAAGCGGATACTATTTTTACCATTGTCATTTAAATTAATGTTTACATTTTCAGAATTTTTCAAAGAATACATTAAAAGTTTGAGACCTACCTCTGTTGTCTCGATCCGTTGATTTATATCTTCTATGTCCAGCTGAATGATTTCCAAGCTTTCGAAAATTTCTATTTCACAATAATCCTCAGCTATTTTATCTAGATTTATCTGTAATTGCTCAATTTTTTTGAGTTTAATTTCGATTTCAGTGACACTAGTATCCTTTGACACTGTCTTCTCCGAGGTAAAAGCCTCTAACCTAGTTAAAGTTCCTTTGATTGAATCTTTTAAACGATTCAATTTTTCTTCAGTAGTTACGTTGGAGTTATTTTTATTTTTCGATTTTTTATCCATTTTCTGTGGCTTCGTAGGACCAATGTTTCGTCAATATTTGTGTGGACTGTAAAACTGGTTAAAGAATAAAAATCAGTCTTTTTCGCAACGCTAAGCCTACTTTATTCGTGCACCCGCTTTGTTGGGGTACAGCTAGACAATGTCTACTTTTACAAATTTTTTACAGATGGCGCTACAGTGCGCTGATGACGTAACAGTCCGTTTCTCATATTTCACGTATTTTTACGGTGGTAGCGCGTCATCGGTAGCTTTATATTTTATAGTCTGCGCTGTTTGAAAAAAAAATTACGAATTCGCTTAATTTATTCGCCATGTCAGAAAATCCACTTGCACATAACTTATCAGCTGTCAGAAAATATTGATATTCATATTGAAATTCAAGTATTCAAGTGTGTATTGATTTTAGTCATAATAATAATTATTGAATGACCTTTAAATTCATTGTTAATTCAAGTTTCATTTAGTAATTATCAATACTAAGCATGCTTTAAACATTTCTTCTTTCAGTGATCTTATTTTTGTACGCAAAATGATAACAAATGTTTAATATTAATTTTTTTTCAGAGCCGAGAAGGGTTCGTTAGAGCACGTTTTGTTCATTATCCGAATATGTGTTCGTTGTCCAAACACAAAAAATCTTTCTTGAAAGTGTTCGTTATCCGAACACAAAATTCTTTCGTGAAAGTGTTCGTTAACCGATTTGCTCGTTAATCGATCACCCACTGTATATATATATATATATATATATATATATATATATATGCATGTATATATATATATATATATACATGCATATTTATTGTACAAATTTTCAATCGTTAATAAAATACTTTCTATTCGTCCATTCAAGTTCAAACACATTTTTTAAACTTGTAAAATGATGATACTGAATGTTATTACAGTTTTTCAAATATTAATTCATTAAGTAAATAAAAAAATGAATAAATAGTAACAAACAAAAAATAATAGCATATATAGAAAGGAAAATCGTTCGTAGTGCCCCTGTAGCGCAATGGGTAGCGCATTGGACTTCTAATCCAAAGGTCGTTGATTCAAATTCCCCCTGGGATGGTCTAATTCCAGAAAATATGATTTCTTTTTTACTATACTATTTTATTAGAATAATTAAATTCATTGAATGATAAATAGTAACAAAAACAAACAAAAAAATAGTCCAACACCATATATAGAAAGGAAAATCGCTTTCTGTTTTGTCACTTAATATTGTGGCTCTGTCATATGTATATACGTATTAATTGTATATTAATTGTAACTTTAATAAAAAGTAACTAAAATAAAAATTTTCTTTGTTGACCTAAGTAGGAATTGACTTTTTTTTATTATATTACTTGTTACCGTTCCACTAGATTTGAAGAGTTTTTTTGAAAAAATGATTGAATCTACTTTTAAGTAAATTTTTCGCGGGTAAATTCCTTTCAGTTAAAAATGAGAAAACTATATTCTTGTTTTTATAAAACATTTTTCAAAATAAAATATTTTGCACAATGCGTAAGCACTTTTGAAATGTTCATTAAATTTTATAGGAAATGTTTAAGAATGCTCATTCCAACAGTTATGAAGGTTTTTGCGAAAGAAACGTCGAATTGTAAAATGTAATATGATGTATATTGATAGAGTTCTATAAATGTTTACGAAATATGTGTGTGTGTAAAAAAAGTGATAAGCTGCCAAATTTAAAATACCAGGTAATTTATTAAATTATTTTATTTTAATATGAGTGTTTCGTATTTTATCAATCCGAAAGATGTTCTTTTTAATCTGCTATGACTCTTTGTAGCAGTATTGCACAAAAATAAGTTCAAATATATATACATGAACACATCTGAGATCTCATTCTAACAAGCATATATGTTTTCCATTGAATTTTTACTTGATAACAAAGTTTTACATACCAATGCATCTCACATTTCAGAAATATTCTTCTTTCATTCTGGATCTCTTCTAGATTTTTTGAAATTTAATTTTCATTTTCCTAATGTAGAGCATATTTGTATTAAAAAGTGGAATAACTAAGGAAATAAAAAATATATAAAATGAAGATTTTTTCCAAATCGAATTTTCCCTTTGAAAATATCAAAATAAGGATAATAATTTTAAGATCATTGAGATTACTGCCCATAAATTTCCAAAAATCGGGAAAATATCTCCTGAAAATAAATAATTCAAATATAATTAAATAATATATTTATTTCAATAGAATATAAATAAACACAATGTTTTCCATAATTTTAAGCAGAACCAAAGCAATTCAAGGGAAAAATCAGAGATTGAATAATATTAATATTGCATCTCATTGTTCGAAACAAAGAAAGAACAGACAAGTGAAAAATTGTTTTGCTATAGTATTTTTGTTAATATTACACCTAAATTACAAGAATGGATCATTGTAAAACTTTTCAAAGAATTAGTCTTGTATATTTTTAATTATAACAAAAACTCTTTAGCTCTGATCATGGGTATAATATCTTTTACGATGCATTTTTTAAGTAAATAATTGATATTTTATTTACATTCAGAAATCCCCAAGAATTTTAAATATGCAGCAGGGTTTTACCAGCTGGAGTCATCTGCAAACATATTATTACATAAGTTACCATCGTTTGTACACAAGACATTAGAAACGGTTTACCAATGGCACAAAAATTCCACAAGGTAACCACTGGTGGTTTGAGTTCAAGCATACGTAAAAGAATAGTGAGCTCCTGGTAAGCTACACAGTTTTTTACATTGACAGTGAAAATTTCAATTGTCAAAATGGCTCCCTTGGCTGTGTCTGTGAGATACTGTGCACAAAAGGCAATCCCTATGAGAATCATAAAAGTGCCCCTAAAAAGTCCAAAAGCAATAATGAGCATTCCTTGAACATCCGAATCTGAGCTGTCATCTCCTATGATAGCAATCACCCTTATGCAGAGAGTAAGTGTCACCATAAAATACCATAAAAGTACAGATAAAGAAAAGGCGCTGTCTAAGAGATGGATTCTGGAGAGAAGTAAGTCATATAACCTTTGAAGTTGATTCAAATCGAGAGAGCTTTCCGATCCTTTCACATTTTCTCCCATTTTTTGAAACCATATGCTTGCAGCACATATTGAAACTATGTAAAGGCCTACAATGGAAGTCAGTGTTCCTTCAGTTAGTAAACACAGATAAGCGTCATTGACTTGTATCAAAACTTTCCCGAAAGTCGGAGATGTTTTATTCACAACATGAGTATAAAAAAATTCAGTGAAATGCTCTTCTGGATTTTTTCTGGTTGGCAGGCTTAAAAATGTTGCTACCCAGAATAATGTATAAATCCATACTATAGCGTTAAAAATGTGCACTCGTTTTAATAACGCTCGTTTCTGAGTTTTACATATCGGAACGGCTCTATCGTAAGTAAAATAGCGAACAAAAGCCTCAATTTGTTTTTTTCGTATTAAAACTAAATCATAGGTCGCAACTGATGTTCCTATTACTAAAGTCTGATTGAAAATTTTCCAGGTTACTTCGTTTCTGACGAAATAAGATAAATAGAGAAGAATCCAGTAATGGAGAGAGATCCAAACGGCTGACATATGAAGGATGCGGAAGAGGCGTCGACACTTGGTGCTGCTTTCCTCCTGTGCAAAGATAGGGAGTCCGAACATCGCTAAAGATTTTAAAAAAGGATCCAAAGGGTTTCTGGCTGCTTTCCCTTGCATTAGAAACTGAGGAAATGTTTTGACATTTGCATTGAAAGAAATATCACGAGGATTCTTTTTCCTCCGTAGCAACGCAAGAGAAGTCATGATTTTCAAGTATATATAAGATCACGAAACATTCCTAATAATATTTTTCATCCAAATCTGTTAATTTAAAATATCCATATAAGTTTCATTTATCCTAAGAGAAGATCTTCGAACGCCAATGGTACTCCAATTCAATAAAGGAATTCTTCAAGCAAAGACCTACTCTTTTCGAATTATAATTTATTTACTTCAGTCAATATTTATTTTACATACGTCTTAATAAAATACACTTTTATGAATTTTTTATGAAGAAAAAGTAAAATTAATGCACAGATTTGTTTGTTGGAAGGTTGCTATAGAAATTCTTCAACAACCAATAACAAAAGGCTCATTTCATCCAATTTATATTTCAATAGTCCAAAAATAAACTTACGGTCCAATACAGACAAAATGCAATGACTTCTACCGCCCGCAATAATACTTTATAGTATTTAACGATCTTATTAAATATTTACCAGTCAGAAATGGAGTAAATTACTGGGAACGTCAGTTCAACAAATCGTCGCTAAGAATACGGAAGGAGTTGCGTGATTCAATAGATAGAATTTCAACAAAAACATTTGGATCTTGACAATAGAATTCGAGAACTTTGATTGCAGTGTCTGCCCTCATTGATTTTCATTAAAATTCAGAAGGATTTCCCCCTCCTAAATTTAAGAGCAATCTCATAAAACAATTTTAGACGGACTTTTTCATATTAATATATACTATTTCTACTCTACTATTCTTAACTATTAGTTTAAATAAACAGTCTTTACATTTCAATAAACAAGCACTTTAACAATATCACTAATGTGATAATAAGGTCAAAAATATTCATTCACAATGTTTGCTTTAAAAAATTATATGTGATAAGCAGTACATTTAAATCATTTGAAATTTTTCTCAAATGGTTTTTCATAAAGATAAAAATTGTCAACAAAAAGGACATGATCGATGTATGCTTAAATTGAATACAGAAACATTAACCTGAAGTTTCAACAGTTATCAAAATATCAGGTATTTGAATGAAATAAATGATAGTTTTAAAAAAACTAAAAAACACGTGTAGGAAAATTTTTTCGTTAAACTGAATCCATCCCATATTTGAGCAAGCAATATTGTATACTTAATATTTGTCAAGTTTTCTGATTATTCAACCCCATGTACATTCACATGCTGTGCACTGGCCCTTTTATTATATGTAGAATTGTACGAAACTAATTAAAAACTGTGTGCAACACAATCTCAGCACAATTTAAAAATCACATCACAGTTTTGTGAATTCCCACATGCTGCTACATTTTTATATTTTGTGACTATAATTATTGACATTAGTAATAGAAATCTTAACTTTTTTTGTATTCTAGTTTATAATAAAAATCTTAACAAAAAGGTTACCAGAAGGGAAAACATAAACCAAAATAATATATTTTTGACAAGAAATGAGAAATAGTAAAAAAATCAATATCTAACATCATTGGCATGAAAGAGAAGGATTTAACGATAGAGAGAAAAAATATCTATAAGATTCTCCTCAAGTCAAGTTTTTGGCAAAGGGGACTTCTAAATGTTCTGAAAAGGTTAGGGCACAATGAAATCCCATTATTTGGATGGGAAACTTTTGCTGAGGACGTAAATTACTCATGTAAATCTAATATGAAGTGCAGAAAAATTACTTAAATTGATTAATTAATTAATTGATGTACACACATGAAATAGGATTTGCAACTACGTACAACAAAAGTTGCTCTATGGGTTTTCTACTAGCATCACTGATAAACGTAAAAAGTTTTTTTCTTTCTGAATGCTTATTGAAAATCCTTTGAAATAAAATGTAAATTATAAATTCAACTATATTTTTAAAAAATTAGTATTTCTTTGATTCAAAAATGCATACCATCTTTAGTTACATGTACCAATAGCAATAGGTAAAAAAAAATGTCGCAGCATTTAGTTCAATAGAAAATGCCTCCGCATTTTAAATTAAGATAAATGAGTTTTTTTCTTTCTAAGATAAATCCGCTTAAAAATTTTATTTACCGCTGTGATGTAAATAAAAACGAACATAAAAGTCATCATAACTGATCTTTTTTTTAAACTTGGAGCTTTCAAATTTTGTCAGATTATGGAAAATTCACAAAGAATAATTAAGGCTAAAAAAAATTTTATTTGAATATTCGATCGATTTTTGCCAATTGAATCGTACGTGCTCCCTAAAACCCACGGCTATCATAATGATGGTATCTGGTGATTCCGTTCTGCGTGCCAAGCTTCCAAACATTAACATGTTGCGCG